CAAACTTCACGGGTGACGTCAATAACGCGCGTACGTGTCACTGCTTCTGACTGCATACCATAGGTTGATCGTACCAGCAGCCAATCAGAGACTGTGTGGCCCAAACAGAAGCAGAACGACGCAAGCAATACTGGAACGCGATTGGTAGAAGACCGGATAACCAATGAAATTACTTTGTACATATTATTTAATCCCCATTATTTATTCCAATAACTGAACTACTACTCCTGTGACCTTTTTCACGCGTCTCAATTACGTGGGATATTGTGTGCCAATGTCAGGGCGGTCCAGTGCTTACTTGATCCAGTTTGTGTTAGCTGATCCTTGATTTGTACTCTGTGATCCCTATTACGTAGTTCGGCGGGGAGAATGAAGTCAGGCGATTGAACTGCAAAAAGGACGGAAAGAATCCCTCGGGCCTTATTCTCACACTCGCAACAAGGCGACCCGCAAAGTACACCCAAAGACAAATCAGTTGTGGCGATCCCAAAAGAATGATAAAGTCTGTGACTCTAGGTCTGTAGTAGTCGAAGTAGGCGCATATCACGAATCACAAATCACAGACGCCACAGAAACACTGAATCGTACTAGCACTTGCATACTGATTTTGCCGTCATCGAGACACCAGAAGAAGGTCGCAGACGAAGCAGTTCACTTATTGGAGTAAATCAAGGGGACTATATAACGTGTAAGCGGAATTTTTGTCGGTTATACAGGTATCCAACGCTTATCTGCTTGTATTATTGACGTCATACAGCTTCTGTTTGAGCAGCACGACTTCTGATTGGTCAGCATCATTTACCTATGGTTCGTGGTCCAAAAACAGTAACACGCGTGCGTTTGACTGACGTCATCTATGAGGGTTGATTCATTACAGTTGTCCCGAAACTAGAAGGCTTCGCTCCGCGGTGGGCGTTATCCCGTAGGCTAGGCTCACCTCAAGGCCGCGTTCTTCATTGCCGAGAGAAGGCGTGTGGTAAGACACCAATCTCATTTATTTGGTACAAAATTTGTGCATTTTATGGCACATCCGTACAATATTGAACGGGACTCAGTGTTTTAACTACTGCTACGCATGTGACTAAACCCTTGACCAACATTTGGAAGATGTTGCACGTGAGAAGTCAGAATTAGTGTACCAGTTACATGTTGTGAGGAATGTTGCCCCACTGCGTGTTTCATGTCTGCAAACAACAATTCCTCAGTTCAATATTGAACGTTTGAAAATCTAACAATACTGGTTCACTTTCTCATGCGCTTAGCAAACGAACAGTGAGAATATTTCCACTCCTGGAATTGTGAAAGAGTCAGCCTTGATTCATGAAAAAACCACTCGAACTCAATGGATGTAAGTAGCTACTAAAGTACATGTATTGTATGTCAGAATAGTATCCGCAGAACGTGCAGTAAAACTGGGAAGCATGAGATTTTGGACCAGGAGTCCCTCGTGCCGCAAATAGGCGAGACATTTCACTTCGTTTCAAGCACGTGGGTTCTTTCGAACGCAGTCTGTTGAACGGCTTCAGCACAAAATATGACCGGCTGCTATCTTGTTTGAACCGTCAATGGTGTGTCACCTGGGTTTATTACGATAAATCACGGTGAATCCAATTTCACATTTCGCTGATTAGACTACTCATGATCGTGAGTCTCTGTATTTCAACATTCAAGGTCCTTTTGTAGCATTTCTAACTATTGACTCTAGCCAAAAGCCTCATTGAAAAGAAAGAAAGCTAACACTTTGTTCTGGGTCTGTGATTTCGCAACAAGCTATTTGTTCATTGCGTTACAAAATAACACGTTTTTCAAAGATGTTTCGCTTCCCAGGTGCTTGGATAAACCGATTCGGTTTAGTCATACACAACACCCACAGCTTGGACTCCCTACTTGCTGGGAATACATTGTAACATTACAATTTAGCTGGGGAAAAACTATTCAGTGGGTACATTCATTGTAGGAACACAATGGTGCCGTGTTTTATCATCGTTTGAATTCAGTATTATTTTATTCTAAACTTAAAAAATCTCTTGTGACCTTCACTGTATTGCGGCGGTTCCTATTCCGCTTAATTTACCACAATTCTTTTTGCTACCTACATGTCTCGTTTTGTTCTGGACAGATATTCGAATTGATGTTCGGAATTTTTGATACTTGAAATACAGAGACTACGTAGGTATTCCCATAGTGGTAACAGACGCACCGAGTATAATCTGAACGTGGAACAGTAATCGGATGTGACTTTGTATATCAACGACGCGTATATTTTAACGGCATTAAAACCGAAAAGGTTGAGGATGTCGACAGTGTTACTAAGTGTTCCTACTTTTCCCACCCCCGTCTAAACATAAAGTGGTCGAACACGATAAACACGGAAGACGAATAAACAAGAGTGTCAGGAGATGCAAGATAACTGATAATCAATATGAACCTTGTGTACCACTTCCCTTCTTTTTCTTTCTCAAATTTATTTCCTTTTATTGAATAGATAATGATACAATTCTCAAGAAATGGAAAGCGGCCAATCAAAGGGTTGGTTGCTTTACAACAAACAGAGAATGGGGCAAGTCAGGCGGTGGTGGTGGTGGGATTCGAACACACGTCGCCCGAGGTAATAGTTTGGTAATGTTACTACCGGGCCAGCATAAACATCATGTGCTATGCTTGTGTTACATAATATACCTTCGTGTGTGTTAGTCATGTTCTCCATGTTTTATGTGCGTGTCTGATGACGAGAAATGCGGCCGAGTGTCAGTGATAACCGGCACGCATTACTGTCATTTCAGAGTGTCCCCGTGGAGCTCCACACGTGCTGCATACATTCTGTACTCACGTCACAATCAAGAATGATCCATCTGTGTGTCCTCCCAGCATGGCGCAATGTGAATGTTCAGTGACCGAGGGAGAACCTACACTTGACACATACAGACAAATGGTTTGGTAGATGGGATGATATCAGTGTCCTTTAGAAACATCTGAATTTGCTATCGGGAAAACCTAAAATGGGGCTGGGACAAACTTGAACCGATACCTTATCTTCCTGCTTCGATACCGGGAGTTGTAAAATCTACAGTGGCGAGTAGGCTTAAAGATGAGCTGAACCGAACAAAGCACAATTAGAAATGGATGATGAACACCAATGTAGACTATCATATCTGCGATCGCTGGTTTAGAACCTGAAATTGCACACACATACACACATGTGTACTGATACACACGTGTTTACGAATGCGCCATATCACTACTGTACTGTCCGATTATGTGACCTATTATTATTATTAAATTAAATTAATTGATTAATTATTAAATTATTCACTTTTGTATGAATGTATACTGTTGGATCTATTTTTTAGACATGCATGTACGTCGTGCTAATTCATTCAATGAAGGAGCCGCTCACCAACCGGTTGTTCTGTTTTTTACATCTGGATCATGACAATCGCACACACATTTATAAGCAAACACACATATACGTGTTAACCTACACCGTCAGTGTCCAATCACAACTCATGTTGTATGTCCATGCATTGATCGGGTGTTGGCTACTCATCATAGATCGATCAATCCAGCCAACGAGTTGACTGAAAACATCGAATTATATTGTGGTGCATTAGTTCAGCGTAGTTCAAAACAAGCGGGATCATTTGTTTCCTGTGCCCCCCACTCCTCCCGTCCTTCTTCTGTAACTGCAAAGATGAAATTCAGCACTTGCGAATCCCTCTGTTAGTTATTCATTGGACCGATTTACAACTACGAGAGGTAACTAGTAATAGCCGATTCTGACCTTCATCGTCATCGACACCGTTGTCATCGTGATCATGATCAGTCTCACCATCTTCAAACATGAAATCTATTCTTCAGATTATCTTTGGGAAAAACATGTGATCCGTGACATGTTGTGATCGATATGTTTCTGCTAGAGACTTATATGACACTTATATCTCTAAGGCTACACAAATTTGATCATGCGTACGGTGGAACAAATAGAGCATCAATCTCGTCTCGTGCTATTGATCACCATCATTCAGAGGGCGCAAACCTGACATCTATCTGTCATCTCCCACTTGCTTTACTTTCAGGTTGAGCGCTGTTCTCTGGTGCGTAAGCAAGTATTGACAAGTATCCATCTATAGACAAACAAACAGATGGTAAACAAGGGGTATACCTACAAAAAAATTGCATCCCGGTTGAGGAATATAATCGCACACACCGGTATAAGTGGTGCTCCGTGCTATGTTCCGTTAGATATTCTGCCCCGTCTACACGTTCACTTGATGCAATAATCGGCAATCAGTGCACGGCTTCCAAATTAGACACAATTTGCAAAACAGAATTCCAATCCCCTGTGATCGACACGAACGGATGAGCGAGCACAGTTAGACACATGTGATCCAAGTCTGACTATACGATCTATTTTCTAGGCTTGATTCACCATCGCTTTCACTCTCCATGCGCGTGTCACGAAACAGCGAACCAGCGTGACGGTGATTGCTGATTTAGCGATCCACATTTTGTTGCTTGCTTGTTAACACCTCCGTGTATTTGTAAACACGTGTGTGTGTGTGTGTGTGCGTATGTTTGCGTTAGTGTANTTTGAGTTACGTTTCCAAATTGAACAAAACACCCTTCTTCTTCATGTAATACTGCTCAGCATTGGAAAATAACCTAATGAGCGTATATGCGCTTGTGTGTGTGTGTGTGTGTGTGTGTGTGCGGACATACACACGTGAGGTGCTTGTGTGTATGTGCTTGACAAGGCAGAGACCAGGCAAAGAAGAGACAGAAGATACCGCAGAGGGTTGGTGCTCGTCAAATCGATTGGCCTGGAAATCGAAACTTTCGATCCTATAAAAGTGCCAGGCTAGTTTGATCGCCACACCGCGCATTCTCAAACGATCGCGAATTTTCCTCGGAGTTGAACAGAGACAGAGCGAGGAGATCGCTGATTTGATTACAGTCCGTACTCGACACCCGATTGGAAATTTACATCTACTCCATTCAACATGCCCGACGCAGTGCCCACGATCATCAAAGCGGAAATGAGTGAACAAATGCGTGAGGATGCCGTTCAGACTACAATGGAAGCGTTGAGCCGTAACAAAAATGAGACTGATATCTTGAAATATATCAAATCCGTATTCGATGCCCGATACAAACCGTCTTGGCACTGTGTTATGGGGAAAAATTTCTGCAGGTAAGTTGACCGACTGTACCCATGTTTGGGAATCTGTGTGGTAAAGTCAGCTCTAAACAGCTTATCGATTATGTTTGGAACAAGAAAGTATGCACTTGGATTTTGAATATGGTTTGGTAATTTGAATACGTTATTGTTTAGATGAAACAGGTTGATATCTTTGGATAATGGATTCAGAAAACAGTGAATCAAAGAATTTCCCCCAAAGATTTGGTCGATAAAGCCATTCACTCAGATTACAGTCTGATGTGTATCGAATCCGCATAGGTTCATTCTCCAATTTTGGATTGCTCAAGAAGCGCTGTGAAGTGATTTCGGATCGTTCGGCCGATTGCCCAACTGAATTTCAACACAGCGCGGGAGGAGATGGTGTTGTCCGGTTGTCTGAATGTCTAAATAGTATCAGGTATATTCCCAAGTCAGGAGACTGGTCTGACCCCAAAAGCCAAGATGAAAACAGTAGCTGGTGCAACAGGGGCAAGTGTTTCCTATAAAAGGAAAGAACGGACTCATCTGATCGTCCCCTATCAAAATTCGAAGTGTTTAAAACTAGTAAAAGGTGAATAAAGTTGTTCAACCAGATAATTCGAAGTTTAGCTTAGGTCTGATATTACTATTATTATTATCACGAGTTTGTATTTCACTTTAGACACAACCTTATCATTTTATCGAATCTATTGATCAATTTCAGCTACTTCACTTACGAGGAGAATTGTTACATCTACTACTCGATCGCCGGACGAGACTATCTCTTGTTCAAAACCCCGTCACAAGAAGAACCAAAATAGGCAGGCTATCAGTTCGATATGAGGCGGAAGATCAGTTTCAAATCGATAGGTCGCATTCATTTACCTCTTTTTATCTCTCTCTCTCTCAATCGCTCTGTCTCCTTCTCTCCTTCCCTTTCGTTGTCCTTCACATAAACACATTTCCTACTTCTATGTACTCGCTTCCATCCCCTTGATTCAACTCTCTCTCTCTCTCGCTCTCACCCACCCAACCCCCGCTACACACACACACATACACAACCACAATCTGCAAGTCTTTTCTTACTGTCTAGGATTTCAAAAAGATTTTTCCTATAAAATTTCAAAGTAAACTGTTCACACCATTCTGTGTATATCACATTAAATAGATGAAGTAAAGATCTATTCCATTTTCGTGTCTTTGCCCATCGGGTCGAGCCTGTAAACTTGGGGTCGTAGAATTTGTTAGTAAGGTTGCCTAAATTTTGTATTATCCTGCTGACTGTAGTATACTCTCGCCTAAAGACCAGCGTACACAATACAAAACGCACTGCGTCGCACAGCTGGGTTCAGTTGATCAATGACTAGATGATATATATTTGAGTCAAATTTGAACACTATTCTAATCACCAATAATAAAATCGAAATTCTGTTGTAGAGATCTGGACTCTTTCAGTCTCTCTGCGCATTCAATCGCTCAAAGTTGAATGAGGGTAGGAATTGAAAATGTGTTTCTCTGTTTTTATCTCATCGTTGTCATCATCAATGTGGATTATTCAATATTTTTATAATAACGTCGTTTACCCGGTAGAAATATCATTCAATTTCTTATCTGACTATTTGGTATCCATGGTATTCACTCCTTGAAGCTGGCAGAAATCCAATCTGTGGAAAATTGGGGGAATCTATACACGTACAGTTATTGGGAAATTTTTTTTGAAGCTCAGAATACAGCACGGAGCGATACATTGTTGAATTCACAACAGAATGCTGACGGCAAAAATAAATCCANATCCAATAATTAACTGTCCAACTTTTGTCCCTGGCAAGTGGATGGAAAAAAAACACTGTAACTGTAACACTGTAAATGAGTTGCCTGACACCGTAATCTTGGAAACTCTTGCAGTTTAGGATATTTTCGTAAGTCTTTGGGCAGTGGTGATCCGCTTATTTGGACCCATAACGTGATCGAAAAACCATTCAGAGCTTTTCAGCTGAGGCACCGGAAACCCCTCAGTTTTGTCTTAAGTATTTACCGAAACAATATGCCTTTTACATGCCCCAAGTCTGTCATATAGCACACAAGGGGGAAAGTCAGTCAGTGGTGGTGCGATTCGAACTCATGTCCTTCGGGGTGATAATTTGGTGACGTTGCCATCGGGTCACCGCCACCCATTGTGTAAATCTGATCGATTCGCCGTGTGGCGGTCAAAAGAACCAGGCAAATCAAAACTTGTGGTCTCCAGGCTGACAAATATGTGAACAAAAACTGATACATGTGGAATTTTTAAAGTTAAGTCAATTCAAGCGACTGCAGCACACTATTTCTTGAGATATTTTATCAGCAAAAGCACTGCTAAAAGAGGAGGCACAGATCACGCTAAACAAGGTGAAATGCCCAGGAAAGAATTACTTCTTCAGTCTGTTGAGTACTGGCGTAATTTTGACTGTCAGTTTGACTTTCCCAAACACCAAACGCCTCGCTGAATAAAAAGAAACATGCTGACGGTAAGCGATTATTTGAGCGTGCAGAAGTTTTCTAATTGCTCTGCGTTCCTTAGATATAGTTGTTTCGGGATTAAGTTGCTGCTAGTGCTGCTAGGCAAACTAGTGTGGCAGAAATCAGCACAGGAATTGACGAACGAACAGACTGAATAAAAAGCATTCTGATGTCTAGCAGGGAATCGCAATGAAATGTCATCATCTGCGTTACATTTTCCACATTGTAACATTCACCAATAAGAGAATTTACTAAGCGTGATCGGAAATCACGATCTCAAGTAAAGTTTCCTTGGCTGACGAAACTTTGTCGAGTGGGTAGTGGGTCAGTGCTGGCGGCATAAATCAGTATGGAACAATTACCTATGTTTTCAGCTACGAATGACGGATGGAAGCATAAAAATCTGGAGATCTCAGGGACGGAGTTACGTAGACAAAATGAGTGTATCGAGTTCGTGTGTGGGTTGTGGGTTCCGGCACGGTTTTCGCGGCACTTTTTCGTCTGATGTTAAAGGTGAGCTGGTTTGCACTGAAGCAAAATTCACCAGCTCCAACTAACTAAAGATGATGAATAGGCAATCTAAACTGCCGGCTTATATGTTCCAGGGCAACAACGCCGTTGCACACAGATATTAAGATACAGCCGTATGCAATCTGTACTATGGTGTTCGCTACAATCACTGACCTGCTGGATCACCAGATATTAATCCCGTTGAATAATGATGGGATCATCATTAAAGAATCGATACTTAAAACGGGTAGCTCCCGAAATCTGGCAGAGCTTAGGAAAGTATTTATAGGCTTTTTGGAACTATTTTTCACGGGATGACATTTGAAGCCCTACTAAAACTTTTCCCGTGGAACGAATGCTCGCATTGCAGGTTAGGAAGCTTCTTCCTTCAATTGATCAGCTGGAGTATCAAAATCTAAAATTTTCATTTGAAACGATCGAGAAATATTATAAATCGTTTCATTAGTCCCACAGAACACAGTGAGAACAATAGCGTGGCGAACAAGCTCGTTTTCAGTTATTTGTTTATAACCAAACTAGGGAATGATCCCCTGGAGCCCTATATCAGACAGTGCGCCCGATATAGACGTTATGCGGATGATGTGTTGTGTGTATATTAGACGCAAATGTGGACACCACGCGATTGCTTCACGAGTACAATGATGTCCACCCAAGCATAAAGTTTACCCTGGAAAAAGAAGAGGATAACAGTCTAGCGTTTCTAGGCATACTCATAAGACGCAGCAGCGATAGCTCCGTCCAGTTATCGGTGTACAGAAAAGCAACGTCAAATGGACAATGTATCCATTTCCATAGTTTTGTCCCTCTTCAGAGGATGCAAAACCTAATTCGCTCATTGGATCAAAGAGCGAGGAAAATATGCACGAGGGATACTATCGACAATGAACTTCACTTCCTATGTACTGTTTTTGTTCAGAATGGCTACCCCAAACGATTTATCGATAGGGCAAAGGACGTAGGAGCAACGAAGAAGTCCGTCTATGTGAATCTGCCGTTCAAGGGAGATACAGCGGCAGAAGTCTTTCAAAGTAAGCGAACAAGTGCAGTAAGTAGAACATTTTACGCTGCACAATTCAAAGCTATGTTCACATCCAAACCAATTATGTGTTTCTGACTGAAAGATAGACTGCCAGATTTTGCAGCCCCATTCTGTGTATATTCATTCACCTGTTCCTGTGGAACTGGCCGCACGATTAGGCGCTTATCCGATCGCGTTCGCGAACACCACCCGGCTTGACTGAGGACTGGAACAATTAAGACAATTAGGAGCGCGGTATGTTCGCATCTCTTTGAGTCAAATCACTCGGTAAATGTGGCAGGCGCGTTCCGACCGATTCGCAAGGTTCGATGCAGGCAATAAAGAGCAGTGACGCATCGTATCTTAGCCACGGCCGAAGCCGTAAGTATTCAGATTCACAACCCTCCGTTGTGCTTCCAGAAGAAATTTGTGCAAGCACTTAATCTCTCCTGGCCCACTTCAGCCACTCCAACACGTGTGCAATCACTTGAACTTTTGACACTGTGATCAATTTCACACAAACATAAGCACGCATGATTGGGGACACAGCTGAATCATTAGAACTCCAATCTCTCATTTCTCGGTTCTGTTCATATTTAATCATATTAATCATATTTAATGTTGTGTAATGGCATGATTCGGAATAACTAAAAACGAGCTTGTTCGTCACGCTGTTGTTCTGAGTATTATAAAACAATATCAAAATAGGGAAATCCCTGATAGAGACAGGCTTGAGGCCTTTTGTTTCCAATGCGTGTGAATCTGTGAGTTTGTTACTCTGGGTTGATGGTTTTGTTTCTCAACAAAAATATAAACGTCTAATCACCGTACAGGAAAACTATTCACTTCAATTCGGACTACCTGGAAAGAGCGCCTTTGGGACGGCTATACTAAAAATGTTGTTAGTGAAAATCCAGTGAGATTCTCTTGTGTTACATATGCGTTTCACCAATCCGGGCTAAACAAATCTGTCGCTCGAATCCGTGTTGCGCGTTATCCAGAGTTCCTGCAAACAGGAAACCGCGCAATTGCCTTAAACGTGGAAGGCTCATACAAGCCGACTGAATATGATATCTTCTTTGTGGTAGAGACCAGGGTTTACAGTTCATCAAGATTGAATAGAAATAACATTTTATCAACATGTTGTTGGGCGTTTCTCGGAAGCGAAGTCTGTGCATTTGTTTGGAAGATGTAGATGAGTTAGGGCCACATGAAGATAAGCTATAGGAGACTGTTTGTACAAATGGAAGCGGTTCGATCAAACTTGCGAATCTTAACACATGTACAGTGGATGTGAAAGTTTGATCACTAATGTCAATGATTTGGTGAGAACAGAGTATCCAGAATAGCTGATGTGTAAATTTGAAAATATGGAATGACTCACAAGCATATTCAGCCGAACTATGACAATCGTCCCAGTCTTGTCAGGGCTGTCAGGGCGATGCCACTGAAACACCGAGCATAACGAAAAGTGATTTGGTGCGCGGGAAGAAGACTGATTTGTATCCAATACTCGGGGATCAGCAGACACGTATACTGAATTTCGGAAATTCCTTTCTCTCTCTCAAATCTGACGCGTGAGAATTAGATGAGTATAAACTGATTGGAGTTGGAACTGAACAGTTACGCTACATGTTACACAATCCTTTGATTCAGTGTTTTCATCTCCGGTTCACATAAATGTCTAGCACTCACCGAATCAAAGACTCGACCAATTTCTTTTTGGCGGTAATCAAAACAGGTAGGCACGTGAAGGTTGTTGGATAGTGAGAC